TAACATTCCTCAGTTTATTTAAAAACAATCCATCAAAATAAACATTTTTGAAATTTTTCGTTTTTATGGTTTTACAGGTGGGTACGTAAATATTAATACCTACTAAAATAAAATGCCACTGAATGAATAAGAATATAAATGTATATCATAGATTGTAATATAATTATATTATTAACATAATGTCATAATATATTGTTCTATGATAATATACTAGTTTAGTAGTTTATGATCTAAGATTCTAAGATGCATTGTTATGACATTTATATTTATGACTTAAATACTTAGGGCCGCTTTCACCACTACTTTAAACTCAGATTAAAGTTAAACCGGGGTTTAATCGGCTGAATTTGCCCGGTTAAATATCTGTTATCAGTCGATTAAGCGTAATCGAAGTTTAAAGTATTTGGTGAAAGTGGCCCTTATAATAGTATAAAGAATAATATAAACTATAAAATTGGTTATTTAAACTTATTATTGACTATTTAAACGAAGAAGTGTAGTAGTCTGTGGTTTATAGCTTATAGCCTATAGGTATGTCGTCTATGAAGCCAACACACTGCATTTTAAATTTTGAAATCCAATCCATTGCAGTTTACAGTGTTTGCAACCGACAGTGCCACCATGTGCCACAGTGGTACCTCAGGATGCAACACGTTTAGTCACGTGATATTCCACTATCACAGATTATGAATTTGGAAGATGTGCCCCCATCTCCGCAGCACTTCGGCCACGGCACGGTGTCGCCTCAGAAGTCAGAAGTCAGAACTCTAACGCTATTTACTATTCAGTATTCACTAAACAGCCGCCTCACGCGTACACGGCTCACTGTATTTTGTACTTTTGTACTTTTGTAGTTATGTTTACATAATATCTTGATTGTTGATGCCTATAAGCCTATTGGTATTTGGCAAAGAAAATTGCCTGCGAAATCCGAGCTCCCGGCCGCTGCGACCTATCGCCAGTCGCCACACGACTACAAAGTAGCGAGTACGGGATTGCTGGTGCTAACTACAACTGCCTACGGGGTACAGTACTAAATAATCATCAGTAGGGCTCGCAAGTTATAGGATCTGAATATGAAAATATGTACACAATAATTGTAAAATATACATGGAAAAATTTCAAATATGCAAAATAATTTGATAAATACTCGTCAATATTCTAAGTTATTCAAAATTCCAAAAAAATAAAAGTATGTTGCTATTAATTTACACTAAAAGAAACTTAAATAAGGAAAAATAAATTTATAATACTTAAATTATGGTGGAAACCTGTATGGCATATTGAAATTTTATTGAACTGAAAATTGTAGTTAAAAAAATACAATACATCATCGGCATATTGTGCATCGCACCGTTACTATTAAATTAAGAGTAGACTGTGACAAAGTAATAAATACATGTCTACATTAAATAATATTGAGTTATATTCTATATTGTTATTAAAATACAAAACTTGGAAATAAAAAGTAGTATTAAATATGACATTATTTATTATACATTGTATAATATGCATATGAAAATCAAGAAATATGCACTTTTTTCTTAAAATTGACAAAATATGCAAAATTTATATTTTAATTTTTCGATTTTTTAAACACCATTGTATACCTAGCTCGGATGATTATCTTTGCTAAAATCCAGAGCATAAAGAATAATATGCAATTCCTACAACTTCTGAGCCCTAATTATCGGTCAATCAGTGCGGTGTGTAAATACTCTATTTCTTTGTGTCTATTTCAGTATCTGGGACTGAAGGCTGAAGAGTATTGAACACTAATGGCTAATGCATTATCACAACTATCAATATAGAAGTATCTGCATCTGCCCATAACGGACCCTCAACTTATGCCACAAAGCATAACGCATTAACACCCATAAGGATAAGAACCTATGGTTTACACTCGTATACTTCATAGACGAGTACATAGCCTTAAATCTTTTTACTCATCCCTCTCACTAGTCAGTGGTCTCATTACCTGTCGGATAAATTTGAGGACCTACCTATAACAATTTTGTTACATCAACTACCTAGTTATCTCCATAAATTACGTTAATTACATACTGAAATACAACGGTAAGTTCATATTATTATATTGAACTTGTTTCAAATCGGTTAAACAAATTGGTGGGTCACTGATTCAATCAGTGTCGCAACCAGGATTTATTCATGGGGGTCCAAAAAAATGTATTTAACTACTGTTTTTCTGTTCTTTTCCTGAGTATATACATACATTTTATTTCTTTACAAACACAATTTGCCGGGTTTAAGACTTAAGGGCCATTAAAAAAAAAAACAAATATATTATTTACATTTGAGATTCTGAGCAATGAATATATTGATTTTATAATGATGTGTTTTTTTTGTGTCAGTCATCATGGTGAATCTAGTTGGTGCATTCAGGAGAACAATTTTAAACTTCTCAATAGTTTTATAAAGCGCTGGGAAAAACTAAAAAAATTAAGAAAAAACAGGAATTCTTACGCAATATTGGTTTTCGACAAAATTGATTTTGGTTTTTGGTGTCACTCTAAAACAAATGAACGTATAAACATGAAATTTTGACTGGTTGTTTGTATTCGAATTTTCCATACACGAAAAATTTCAAATTATTTTGATTTGTTAAGAATTGTTTATAGACATTGTCAGTTTCCAATATTTTATTAGTCTTTTTTCTATGAATGTAAATAAAACTTAATTTGTTTGGTGAAAAAGCTTAAAAATGTAATACAAGGCTCCTACTATATTGTTATAATGACATTTGAACAATATGAAAAATCCTTAGTTACAGTTTTGTGTTTTATATGCATTTAAAGTTCATATCTTATAAAAATATGGAAAAATCATGTAAATTATTTTGAGTTGAAAATTCATAAAAAATTTTAATGTCCACAAGCAAATCAAATTAAATTTTTATGAGCGTTTGAAATTCATATTTTTACAATATTGGATATTCACACGATTTCTCATGTAGTGATTTTGCTATTTTGTTGTTACTTAAAAACAAATAACTGTAGATACATGAAAATTTTACTGAATGTTTATATTTTCATTTTCTATACACCATACAATTTTTATAATATTTTGACTCTTTTTGAGCTGTTTACGGATATTGTCAGTTTTCAATTTTTTTTTTCTAGGAATATTAATAAAATTTTATTTGTTGGGTAAAAAAGCGTGAAAATCTAATGCAAATTTAACACCATCCATTACAATGACCCACTTGCAACCTACTGTACAGCAGAGCTACATCCACTTGCCCACCTTTAAAAATTTATATTTACAATGCATGTCAATTAATTATTATTATTATGCCAATTAAATTATGGTATAGTCATATTGTCTCATATTAATCTCATAAGTAATAATCAATCTACTCAATAAGTTTCGATGAACATTTCAGAGAAACTTTTAAAAATAAAAATAAAACTATCTTGGAAATATAGGCATGAGCTTAAACACGTCATTAGCAGGGTGGTAAACATCCAGCAGGGTAGAAAATTGACATTAATTATCCATTCCGGCATTCCACCAGTAAAACGTTTCCATGTTGAAAACTGTAAAATTATTTATTTCTAAAAATGTAAATGTTTAGTATTTTAAAGTTTAAACCCAAAAACACAATTTTTGGAAAAATTGAGCATTTTGAAGTTTTTTGACCATAACTTACAAATGAAATTTGAAAATACCATCAAATTAAGTATAAACTGCATTTATGTCCAAGCTTTTTTGTTGAATTTATAATATTTAATCGGGTAAATAAAATACATATTTTAATAGTTAAAATTACAGTTATATTCATTATAAATTTATAAATAATGTGTTTTACAGGTTTAGATAAATTTTGATATATATAAGCAAGTACATTTATGGGAAATAAAACAAAATTACTTACAAAAATGAAAAAATTAAGTATAATAATATCAAGTGAAAATAGAAAATTAAATGTCACCTTTAAGCTTTATACTACGCTAACAGGATTTATAAAACTACATACATTTTAATAACTATACCATAATAGTAAATAAGTGTCTTTAAAAAAAATTATAAAATAAAATATTCTTTTAGCATTAAGTTATAAATTAAGTTTATACAATACAATTTTACAATCAAACATCAATATTCAATATAGTTTAAATAATTAATAACATAACTTTGGGAAAATGTATAATATTCGCTATCTACAGATTTTTTCAGGTAATTCCATTAACTCTTCAGATAATTTATTTTTAAATTTATAATTACAGTATTGAAAAGCATTTATGACTTATTAAAGTAATTAACTATTAATAACAATAAGACGAATACATTATTTTCTCTAGTTATCGCTAGACAGTGCTGTAACCAAAACATGGTTTTCTAGGAGGGGCACTTAATTTTATTTTTCTAGTTTCTTAGACTATAATTCTTTTTTAAACCGGTATTTCTATATCAAAATACTAGAATTATATTATTTGTATTGTATAGTCCACTGAATAAATCGAAGAAAGCTATAATAAGAAAGCAGTTACTTTAAAAATGTAATACTGACTAAAAAATGGACTAATCATAGATGACATACAATTATGTTTTATGATGTAATTGTCAATTGGTAATGTTTAGTAGTACACTCATGATTTTACAATGTATCATCCAGATTACTATAGCTTACAATTTTTTGCATTTGTATGTATTTTTTCAGATATTATGTTTATTGCTTACTAAGCAAAGTTAGAAATAAGTTTCTTGACAATACAAAAAAAAAGTATAAAAGTTCATATAGATTATTTGATTATAAATGATAAAAGAACTTAAGAATTGAAAATTAAAATATAAATACATTCATATTTTATTTATTGATATGAGAAAAAAAAATTTTAGTAAAGCCAATCCGTATAATGAAATTAATGAAATATGATAGTATTTATAATGATTTTTATTTTTTGATACTATTGAAATACAGATAAAACTATTTTGTAGGTATTTTATAATATTTACTTAATGTTACAGCTATTATCATCATGGAGGATAACGAAGCTTATAGACAAATAACGCTTGCTAGAGTAAGTTATTATTTTTACATAATAATTTAACTTAAATTTATTTATTTTATTATAACAGGCTCCAGCCCAATTTACAGTAAATTAATGACAACGATAAGTTATAAAGACACCTAGTATCAAATTATGAAATTTTTTTTTTTAGATATTAGTGAATCTTGGTCATTCCTATCTGCATACTGTTGATATAGAAAATTCAGATGATGAAAGTGGAGAAAGTGAATCTGGGGATACCGGAGGTGAAGAAACTGAAGGTGAGGAAAAAGAAGTGCAAACAAAATTTAAAGCAAGTAAACAACAAAACATAGAGGAAGAGGAAGACCAATTTGATAAACAACTTAATGATAAAGTAATTAAACAGCGGGAATTGGAGAAAAAAACAAATCTAGAAGATATACCACAACAGTTCTATAGAGATATACAACAAAAATCTTACAATAATTTACCTGTTGAAGCTGACACGGAAAAACATGAGCTTGAAAAAGAAGTTGCAAATAAATCTAATGATAAAAAACATAAGTTAAATACTGACTTACCAAAAGAATTCAATAACACAATACAACAAAGGTTAGAATATGGAGTAGAATTAATTGGTGAAGTACAAGATGAGTTTAGTAAAAAACAGGAAAAGGTCCACCCAGATGACCAACCAAAAATTGATATAAATAAGGAACATGAATGTAACGAACAACTAATTAAAGATTCTGAAAATGAAATACAAATTCAGTTATTGGTTGAAGCCCCACCAATGCCTGGTGTAGATGTGGAATTATACTTAGAAGTGCAAGTTGATTCAGGGTGTCAACTTAATATAAAAAAGGAAAAAGTGCTTGGAGAAAAACAAAAAAATGTTGATAAAGAACATCAAGAAACAGTTGACAAAAATATAGAGCACACGGATCATAAAGATAGACAAGCAGTAAATAAAAATGTACAGATTAAATTTAATGAAGTAAACATATCACAAGACATTGCAGAAGATATTCAAGATAAAATAAACAAAGGATCAAAGCAAAATTTGGAAGAAGAGAAGATACAACCAGAATTAAATGAAAATTTGCAAGAACAATATGATAATGAAGTACAACATGATGTTAAAGAACTACAGCAAGACGATTATGAAGAAACTATGAATACAAATCATAAAAGAATACTACAAGAAATTGAATCACTTATGTGTGATTTTAAGAATAGAAAAAATGAAGAAGAAGAATGTGACGAATTAACAGCAATTAGAATTGCAAAATTAACAAAGGAAATTGAAGAATTAGAGATAGACATGGAACAAAAGCGTGATGAAGAATTAGAAAGAGAATATAATGATGAGTTTAAACGTATGTTTTCATCAGTAGTCAAAGAAAAATTCTTAGAAAAACTACTTCTCTCATTTAATGAAGATGTGGCACCATATTATAAAAGAATTGAAAATTTGCTTAGCAATTATTTTCCAACTAAATTAGATACAATTAATGATAAAATATTGATCGATCCTGTTCATTCTAAACCTCACGAAGATCTTAAAGAAAGGTCTGATATCAGCGATGGTGCATTTGAAGAAATACATGAAGAACCCGATAAAATAAGTGAAGATGTAGAAAAAGGGTCTAATGATGAAATCTACTATTTTGAAGAAGTACCAGAAGAATCTAATATGGAAATGGGAGAATTGGAGGATGAAGTAGTACAAGCCGTGTCTGACATAGAAAATGAAGATGAAACTCAAGAAGAGTCTGATGTAGATGTTGAAGGGTTATCAAATCCTGACGATAAAGTAACTGGAGGCCTAGATTGGAACTATCAAATAGATTCTGAAATAAATGCAAACGAATCTAACGGACAGTCATTACAAGAAAGCGATGAAGAAATAGAAGAATTAAACGATGATGTAAATATTGTAACCGAAATAGTTTATGATTATGAAGTTGAAGAAGAAGCAGAATCTAGTTCAATAGAAGAACTTAGTCCAATTGAAGAATCTCCTTCTACAGATGATGAATTTAATTCTACAGAAATAGAACAGCGTAATGAAGAAATACAACAGAAGATTGGTAAAGAAGGACAATGTATTATTAGTAGTAGTAGTATACATGAATTACAAGGATATGTACAAGAAAAAAGTGATAATGATGAACCTCAGAATTTTGAAGATTTGCAACTACAAATGGAAATAGAAAATATACAAGATTTAGATGAAATACCATTAAAACTGAAAATTCAACAAGAAGAATTCGAAGAAAAATTACATCAACAAATGAAAACATTTCAAGAAGAGTTTTATAAAAATTCAAAACTAGAGTATGAAAAAGAACAACAGTTAAAAGGTAATACATTAATTGACCCTATTTATGATAGAGAGCAAAAATTGTTTTATAAAATAAAAGGCAATTTTCTGAAAACAACAGACAAATATAAAGATTTAGCACAACGAAAAATGATAGAAGCATTACAACAAAAAGTTGATGAAAAACAGTTGCTAGAAATGAAAGAATTTCCAGAAGAATTTGTTGAACCAAATATAGAAATAGAAGATCTACATAAGGAAGTTCTGCAATTACAACGTGAATGTGATGAATTAGAGCCAGAATTTAGCTATAATATACCATTAGTTGTTGATGAAAAACCAAGCAATAATAGGACTAAAAAAGTCAAGTATAATTTGTATAATAAACTACATGAAATACACAAAAAAAAATTGTGTTTTTTTGCTGATTCTAAAGAGTGGCCCGAAAAAGTATGTAAAAATAAAATGACATCATAATGTTTCCATGTTATTCATTTTTAAATTGTTTCAGTATTTATACCCATCATGTTTGCTGGATGAATTATTTGATGATCCTTCAGAGGTTAATCCTAATGTGTTTGTGATCACATTGTTCTCTGTTGATATTGGTTATTCAATTAAAATAACCATGAATAAGAATAAACCACCAGTTGAAACATTTTATAGCTATGCCGATGATTCAATTTTAGATTTTGTGGAAAGAGAACAACTTCCACCATGTCTATTGGATTTGTTTGATGAAGCTAGACCAAGGTTATTTTATAATGGACGTGTTATAGCAGAAATTCATAATAAATATCATGGTGAAGACTCAACGAGAATATATCGAATTTTATTGCATCCTCATAATTTGGTAAGTTGGTAATTTAAATTTTTAACAAAAAATATGTATTTAATGTCAGTTTCTTCATATTTTATTTTTATATTCATTATTTTGTAACATACATTCTTTCAGTCCATTCAGAGTGATGTGGATCGAATAATTGCTAAATGTAGTCCTGCTTACTGTTCATATGAACAAAGACTAAAGATTGAGAGTCAATTGCTATTACGAAATTTTCCCGTCATGTGCATCGATTCATCGCCTATTGCTGGTTTAACTGTTCAGTTACAACATCAACTATTAAGTCGTCGAACCATAACACTAAACCCACTAAAAGTAAAAAATAATGATTCTTCCAATTTTGAAATGTATGTGTCCAAAAAATTAGAAGATGACAGATTGAATGAATCACAAAATGAATCTACAAAATTGATGGTTGGTTAAAAATAATTTCATTTTTAATGACATTCAGATACTTAGTTTAATTTAAATTAAATTAATATTATTGTTTTTAAATCTTATGTATTTTTATGTTTAGAAAGATACTGCAAGTGAGAATACGATTCATCATCTTTTATGGAAGTTTGAATTCCGTATCGATACATTTAAAATTATAAAATTATACGTGTTTGTCATAACTGAAACTCTAGAGTATTCTATGTTATTGTGTATGAATTCAATTGTCCCACGTTCTAAGAAAATGCGGTATGAAATTTATAATAGATTATTTAAATTGTAAGGTTTTACTTTCTTGATTTTTAATCAAGTAAGTATGGTAGTTGAAATTAAAAAGTCTGAATTTTGAAAACTTCAAGAATTTGTGTTAAATAGGAAAATAATAAAATTATAACTCAGTAATGATTAGTAGGTGGGTAGTTTAGCTATCTTTAATATAAAATATTAATGAGAGAGATTTGATATCATACCCAAGCGGTATAACAACTTTGAATCCATAAAAACGTTGGTGTGAACAGTACCAACATTTATATTTTTTAACTTTTCTCCTAAACTATGTTAGCTAGAAAGTTGGTTGATAACTCATTAAAAAGAGATTATCAAGTCGATATTAAATGTGGAATTAATATTTTTTTTAAAAAATTATTTGATTTTTCACAGATAAAAAAAAGAGTTATTTGTCTCTAGATTTTCATTTAGGGAGGTAGATTTCCAAAACTGGAGAACAGATTTTGTTGTTTGGGGTCTTGTTAGATTCACGTTGGCTAGGAAAAGTGCAGTGAAGATTTTCAGAACTTTATCTCCAATCATTAATTTAAATCAAAAAACGCCCAATAAAATTTGTTTTAATGTTCTGTAATGAATTAAATAATAAAGATAAGGTTCTGAAAATCTTCACTGCACGTCTTCTTCTAACCAATGTGAATCTAACAAGACCTCAAAAACAAAATTCGCTTTCTGGTTTAGGAAGATCTATCAAACTAAATAAAAATGAAAATGATTTATTGTGGGGCTGTTCACACGGACATTTTTCTGGATTCAAATTGTTATGCTGCTTGGGTGTGAAATCAGTTAATAAATTTCTAAAGATTAAAAATCAAGAAAGTTTACATGCCGATCCCTGATTTGGCAATCATTATTTTTTTAACATTTGTATTGTTATAGGTTTAAAATAAATCTTAAAACAAATAAATTAAAATCCTACATTGATGTGATATTAGAATTTCTTAAAAAAAACGTTAATCCTGACACATTAGTGGTTCGAAGATATAAAAGTGATGATAAATCAGTACCTCAGTCTACTACGTGTGTTCCATCATTGTTGAATGACAATGTGTATGAACCTAGTTCAACAGATATTTGTAAGGCATGTATTGCATGACAAAAATCGTGAAAATTTTCTATTTAATGTTAACTTTAAAACAATTAACGTGTTTGAATTTTAGTTTCTAGATGAGTTGTTAGAATTTATACCTAAAATTGAATCTGAAGAGACTGATGTAACAAAAAGATGTTTATATTATGGCGTAAGTGAAAAGGTAAAATTAAAATTAATAAATAAATATATACATATATTTAAGCAGTGGACGCCGATGAAATTAAAACTGGCAGTTAAAATAGTTTGATTAACCCACTATACCTTCTAATTTACCAACCCTTCGAATGACTGTAGAACGGGCTTAACTAGTTATTTATAAATAATGTAATGATATTCTTATGTTTAATAAAATTATAACCAAAAGACTTAGAAGTATACTCTATTATTTTACCCACCCACCCTTCCCCTCAATTTTAAAGGCAGTTCAATTGAACTACCTCATGTACGTGTTTGGCACCACTGCATTAAAGTAGGTAATGCTAGTGAAGTATTTTATTTATCAAACATATTCTTGTAAGTTAAGTTAATTTAACTTAATATAATTCAACTTTTAAAAAAAACTGAAGAGAAAACATAAAATATTCTTACCTTTAAATTTGATAATAGTTCATATTATCTTGAGACTTTCAATTTTATGAATTTTATGGCTTTGTATCAAAGGTCAAAGATATTTATAAAAAAAAGTTGTCACAAAAAACAAAGTATCACAGCTATGCTATTTTAGTTTTAATTTTGAAATTACTGTTTTTTACTATACTCGATGATTGTTATTATTCAAATAAAAATATAATTTTTTTATAGGTGAAATCAAAGAAGAAAGACATTAATTTTGGTAGTTCAAAAAGGGTACCAAAGAATATAGGTAAGTAATTTATTTTTATATTTTTTTAACATTTATTTATTTAGGGGGAATCTCTACAACCATACATTTTAGTTCAAAAGACCTAAAGTCTTGAGAATATTAAATTAAATTTTTGTTGTCCGGCTTTAATTCTGAAAAAGATTTAAATTTAACATATAAATATGAAATTTGGAAATTATTTAATCGTTTTTAATTTTGAATGGTAATTGAAAACTTGAATATATGGATTTTATCAAATCATAATAATGTAATTAAATTAAAAATGAATAGTGGAAAGTAGTCCTTACAATCTATAGACATTTTTCTGCTGGATTAAAATCTATTTCAGAATTAAAATCCAAAATCATTAACCAACTTTCATTTTGTCAAAATAATAAGTCGGTTTCCGTAAAATTTGTTTCGTGAATTTTAAAAGTTATTGACATGTGCATAAGCATACTAGAGTGGCTTTCAAGGGTACACTTTGAACAACATTCAGTGACTGACTGTGCACTCACACTAATAATCAATTACAACTAACATATAGATCCTGAGTGGCGATAACAAGATTACAAATTACTTATTGTTGCCCCTTAAGAGGACGTTATACCCGTATGTGCTGTTTTCGGCTTACAAGTACGTAACGTAGCAAATTGTATGCTCAGCAGAACACGTGTAGGTCCTTTAATTTAAAATTAGAGTGAATTGACCTATTATAAAATCTAAAGGTGAGATTATTATCTAGGCTACCTCATAAGCTTTTTATTATATTTTAATTTTAAAGTGAGTTATGAGTATTTTAAAATTGTAAATTGTTTGTACATTTTAAAATACTCATAACTTGCTTTAAAATTATAATATAATAAAAAGCCAATGGAGGTTACTTAGATAATAATTTTACCTTAAGATTTTATAAGAGGTCAATTCACTCTAATTTTAAATTAAAGGACCTTCACGTGTTCTGCTGAGCATACAATTTGCTACGTTACCCACTTGTAAGACAGAGACAACACAAGCGGGTATAACATCCTCTTAAATATAAGCCATAGCGAGGACACTTAAAATATTAAATAAAAATTTATGAGTAAAATGTAAATAAGGCATATGACTTTTTAATAAACAAGTGAAACTATGAGTTTCTTCTTTCTTCTTTGTTGTTTTTATTTTTTTTTTAAACGTTTAATATAATAATAATAAAAATACTTATAGGTTTTTTAAGTGCTATTGTACGTACCATAATAAATTAAGATATTCTAATGCTCAATTTAGCAAATGAAAAAAAAAACATTTTCTACTAATGCTAAGCTGTTATTATAAGAAAAATAATCATATTTAATTTTACAGAAAATAAAAAGAATCAAAAAAGGAAGAAACGAGTACAAGATTTTGAATTAAAAAATGTAATTCCTCGTAAAGTTGAATCATTGTCAACAAGCAAAATATCTGTTGATTCAAAATCATTAAAAAGTTCAATAATACCAATTAATGTTTCATTAGGTCTTAAGTCATTACCGACAAAAAGTCTAAATCCAGTTAAACCATTAGTAACTGGATCAAAATCAAATGCTTTACTCGATAACAGATCCTTTAATATAGTTTATAAAGAATTAGACTCAAATTCAGCTAAAAAAATAGTATTAGTATCGAGTCCCATGACTACTTTACCAACAGTATCAAGTCATATTACTGTAGTGTCATTACAACAGAGTTTTACAGATGCAGCACTACCGCCAGAATCAAGCACTGCAACTATAAAGTCATTAGCACCTAGATATAAAACAATATTTTCATCTGCTGCTTTAAATACTGATTATCGGCTAGCATCTAAAAATTCAGAAAAATTTGAAAACCCTAGTGTGAGCAAATATATTAAATCTAAACCAGTTATTCTATCAAAAGCAGATTATAATAAATGTTTGAGAAAAAATTATTTTTCTCTGGAAACATCTTTTGGTAAGATAAACAGTCAACCGCCCTTACGTAACTTTGTAAGAGGACTAAGATCTTGTGATGATGAAATGGAGAACAATATAAAAATTGTAAAACACGTACATCGTAATGGAATCTGTCTAAAAGGTCCAGAATTCATTATTAACAAAGAGGGATTGTCTGTAGCATCCAAAATAACAGAAGGAAGATTATCAAATGAACGTAATGCTACATATTCTCAGGAGACTAAACAACTCAATGATGATTTAACTACAAATATAGATAGTTTGTCTAATTTACAGGTATGATGAATATGTGATTAGTAAAATTTACTAATATTCTTTAAATATATTGTAATACAACAGTGGCGTTTTCAGGAATTTTCTATAGGGGGGATGGGGGTTGAAAATTTACTTGAATTCAATAGTGGGGGGCTCTGCCCCCCCCCCCAGTAGTCATAATATTTGCAAATGTTGTGTTATTATATATTTATGTATTTTACCATTTTAGTAGACAGTACCTAGTGAGCTGTATTTGGTATATCATATGAATATCAAAAGTAAAATAATGCAACCAAAAACTAAGCTTTTCAAAATTCATACTTTAATAATCATTATAAAACCATAATAATATACCAAACATTTCAAAACACAATACTTTCAAGTTTCAGTCCATGATCTCTATCCATTCTCTTTACCGTTTTAAACTACTAACTACTTCTGTAACTGGCCAATTTATAGGATATTGTTTATTGCCAACAAGAATAAATTTTTTTCTTTTTAAAATTAATTTTTTATTAACCTGTACATTTTTGATTTGTATTTTCTGTGAATATGCAATATAATAACTATTATTATAAATTATTATTTACTAATTAATATATTTAATATTTCGGAATCTCTTTTTATAAAATTAATTTTTACAAAATTAAATTAATTTTAAACCTGTGGCTTAGGAAAAAAAATCAACTTAACGTGGCCATAAAATTAATTAACTCGTAAGTTACCGAATAACATAAGACAAAAAGTAACTCGTTAATTAACTTAGTTAAAAGTAACTTAACTTTAACTTATTAATAATGCCCAGCCTTGCTTTTTTACAGAACAAATAACATTTTATTGACATTCAAAGAAAAAAAAAACAAACAAAATTGGAAATCGAAAATGTCTGTAAACAGTTCAAAATAAATCCAAATAATATTAATAATAAATTTTATCGTATAGGTATAGAAAATGATAATATAAACAACCAGTGAAAATTTCAAGTATTTGCAATGATTTGTTTTAGAGTTACACCAAAAACCAAAATTTTTTGTACTAGATACTAGGTAGTGTACTACCTATTACAGTCCGTCAGTACTACTAAGACAAAATAAAAATTAATTAAATCTTTTTAATCATAATAATTTACAGAAAGTATACATATAGTTTAAGACCAGCCAAGCTTTTGTTTTTGTTTTTTTTTGGAAACCTATATGTATCATTTAAAAACAATGGAGCAAATTACAAAATTCTAAGTTAAAATTTTTAATTATACTTAAAAATATTTTCAAATATAGAATTGTTTATATTATTTTCATCTCAAGCCTAAAAAATATTTGTTTTTACCTGTGTATGACTGTGATCTGTTATTCAATGCAGAGGCCAGAAATGCTCAGAAATTTTGGATGGGATGAGGTGTTGGTTTGAAATTTTTTTCAAACAAAATATTTGTTAATTTTAGCATTATAAATCTAGTTAAGCACGCACAGAAATTTTTTTTTTGGACCCCTATGTATTACAACCAGTTAAGGTTAAGAACGATGGTACAAAAATAAATTTCCAGAAATCATTAGTTATAATGTCAGCCTTACGAAGTTCATGATTTTCAGTGTTGTAGACACACGTACAACACTTATGGTTTACTGCGCCAATAGGTAACAAATTTAAATTTCTTTTTATTTTAAAAACCTAGGTAAATTAACGTTTTTAAAATTATGGTGCAAAAATAATTCTAACCAAAGTATGTTTTCGATTTTAATTTCAATTAGCTATAACTTTAATATAAGTCTGACCCTCCAAATTCTGACCTCCCCATCATTTTATAGGTATTTTAAAACAAAAAACAATTGATAAAAAATTTTGTTCAGTAAAATAGAAAAGTTCTAAACTCTGTAAAATATTGATTTGTACGATTGCGTAAACACCAAAAATCATGAACTTTGTAGGGCTATAACTTAAAAACTAGGTAATGATTCCCACAAATAATTTTAGCAACATTGTTTTAACTAGTAATACATATCTGTGTGTATCCATATTACCATGGCAACCATTTATATATTAATTTGAGATTTCCGATGGAATTTTTTGTGTATAAATGGTGTAAAAACATATTATTTATATAAAGTAGGCAATTTTAATGGGCAACGAAGTGCACGGGATCAGATATTTTTATATAATATATAGATTATGGATAGATTAGAACTCTGGGTAGAAGATAGGCTAATTTAAAAAGAGAGATGACCAACCCCGAGAGGTGCTCAAACAGGGATTTTGAGATATCCGATGGACATTTTGTTTATAAATGGTTGCCATGTGTTTTGAAGCTGTTATAACAATAACTATTGGTTGCCAATTGCTATTGGTTTAAAATGGCTGCTATGGTAACTGTTATATTATAAAATAAAAATATATTATTCATATAGTCATATTATAGAGTTGCCATTTTTAATGGGCAATGGAATCAGCTAGTAATTATATAAAATCAAAGTTGTTATTAAAGAGAACTCCAGGATTTTTAAGAAAATACTCAAGAGGTCAAGAAGAATGCCATGACTTAAAATTTTAAAGAGATAAAAAAAATATATATTTTAGTAAAAATCATAGCTACTTGCAACTTGCCAGTTGAGTTTTATATAAAGCAAACTTTGTGTAAAAATGTTAAATCCTAATTATAATACTATAATTGTTGCTTAAATCAAAAATATTAATTTAATATGTGCATACATGTTATTATGATCATAAGGCCAATATGATCTAACTAAACTTGGTGCTCATTTTTGACTTATACCTTTTACATTTTATCCATCCTTAATTGTTTGACTGAGTATTATAAATTTAACAATGTACCACTTACATATTATGCATTTGAATATTTGTATAGGCGTGTTATAATTGGTTTACATTTCCATTAACTTGTTATACATATCGTAGATAGTGTAATGCATTTGTTAAGTTACCTACTTACCTATGCATTTTAATAGTGAAATCTCTATACATTTTCATTCATCATATAATCAGATGAAAAATAAATATAGAGAGTTTTCACTGCATAATGAAATATGTAGTATTAGGTGTTCTAACTTCTAAATATGATAATTTAACATATCTGTATATACTTGTGATTTGTATTTGTTGCTAGGTTACATCACCTAATCCTGTTATTACATTGGTTCCATCATCTTTAAACAAGTTCAATAATCAAGATCAGGTATAAATGCATTTCTATTATTCTTTTTTTAAATCAAACTGGTATATCAGTGTTAATGTGTTATAAATCTATGCTTGATTACCTATACACTCCATTAATTACATAAGCCGTTAGAAGATAATATTATCTTATACATTGTTTAATATAAAAAGGAACCTTAATAGCAACCAGTTTTTGTCAAATATTATCATAGTTGTACCAAGTATTGCTTGGTTACTGTTAAGACAAGATACAATGCGGCGGACAGAGTGGGACTACTGCGTCGGTTCCGATACAAACCCTCGCCGGTTTGAACCTCGACCACGGGCAACTCCTCTCTCAGGGCAGGCAACTATTTAGAGTGAGGCCGCCATCCCCTTGCCGGGCATGGCAGAAACCTATGGGTGCCTAACTTAAAATTCTGCCAAATCTAAAAACGTGGTTCAACAAACCTTTTACCCTCCCCCTACAAAACAATAAAACAGCTAATGGCCATAGTTGACGGGCTTAAGTTCAATAAAAAAAAAGATACAATGCCTACTTGTTGATGCTGTATACAAAAGCTGACTGCCAAGGTTCCTTCTCCCATAGCATACTATAGAAAATATGATCAGTGCAAATAATTTATTACCATAATATTGACATAGGTTATATAATTATATACTTGATAATTAATTAATTTCTTATTATGTAGATGAATGATATTTCATTTCAAGAAATTAATTATACTTCACCCTCAAGTACAGAAAATATAAAATCTGTTAAGCGAAAACGATCCTCATAAATTCATGTATAATTTATTTTTACAACTTTATATTTTATTTCTCATTTTTTGAATATAATAAACTATAAAGAACTTCATAATATTCTTATTAGTTGTGTAATTTAATGTATAATTTATTGATTAATTTTGTTTAAAATTTACTTTATTGTTGCGAAAACTTTTTCTTTATGATTAAAAAAAAATAGCCATTTCTGGTTATAATCAATGTAACTTTAATATTTATTGAACTTTGTACATACCATTATAAGATTTTTTTATATATATTTTTTTTTATTTTATATAATAAAAAATTTAGTTTTAGACAATTTGTATAAACTAGTTTATGGGAAACATGTTTTTTTGTATTTTTTTTTTTACGAGTAGCCTTTTATTATGAATTATAATTATGTAAGCATTTTTAGTTAATTTCAATATGAATTAAGTTAATTGGGAATGTGACAGTCTTGTTAAGTATTCGAATAATTGTATTTATTTGGTATTTCAAATACTTTTTGACAATTATAATTTAAACACATATTCTTTGTATTTTATTCTAGAATACTAAATACTTTTTTTTTACCATTCTATATCAAACAATACAATGGTATTTATTATATATTTAATTTTAATATTTATATATTAATATACTACAAATAAGTACCTACTAGTACGTATTTCAAATTTAAATGACACCAAGGATATAAATACGTATTCTAAATACAATAGAAAAATGTTCTCAAAAAGACTGGAATGAATATTTAAATCAGAGAAATATCAAGCAATTCAGTTCCTCGGGGCAAAAATGGCTTACGGGGCCACAAGTAGCATAGGATTTGGGTGTCGGTGAATCGTATTTATCATTAAATCCAATTTTAACATTATTTGTAGGGACAAAAATTCTACCCCTAATACCCCTTAATTGTGCCTATTTGATATTTCAATATTTGTATCATCAAATTAAGTTCATAAATCAGCGGACCATATATACATACTATACACTATATATTTTTTAAGGAAAACCCAATTGCTTGTATATGCAATAAAAAATTATTGGTCACTCGTACACTAGATGTTAATCTCATTGTGTTAATGCTAAATACAGATTAACTACAGTACTACACAATATTATTATTACAGTACATATTATATATCATACACTATAACTACTGGTTACAGATTATAATACCTAGTAAGTAGGTAAAAAGTAGAAATATTAGTTAGTATTTTTTTTAAATTTTTATATTGGTTTAAATGGTTGCCATTTGTAAATTTGTTACTCAGCAGATGTGGTAAAACTGTAGAAGTATGCATACAACTGTCGTGTTCATGACTTGGAATAAAGAAATTATATATTTTTAAAAAAATAGTTTATTTATAAAATGATTCTTCTAGGTTTGTTGTTTATACCCTCAAAAACAACTCAATCAATTTTCACAAAAATTTCAGAGATTTTATTTTTAGAGTTAAAAGTTTAGAGAGTAGCTTGAACCACCTTCAAGAATATACCAAGAAGCAAGAGCTATATTTTTAAGCTTTTATGAAATATTATTATTAAAAAAAAAATCAACAACATAAAATATATGCAGTTAAGTGAAAATTTATTTTAAAATATGAATATTTATGAAAATAAATCTCAAAATAGGCGAAAATATAAAAACTAAAATTTCATTTTTGAACTCGTTAGGTTGTAATTTAAATTTCAAGCTGATCCAGTAACTTTTTGATTTACTCAGTAAAAACATGCAATTGTATGAAATTCTGGGCCCTATTAATCACTTTTGACTCCAACTGACCAATTAACATCCATAACATTAAGTATCAAAACAATAACTCAAATATACACCAGTTAATCTTGATTGTTGAAACTTAGCAGCCAGTTTTAAATACAAATTATTTTTATTATGATTTAGTTACGTCTGGTAACATTTTTGTTTTATACAATGAGTTAAAATAAAAAAATACATATTAGTTATAACAACATAATAATTGCCACAAATATGCATTGCATATTACCTACTTATTTTTCAAGAACAAAAATATTATATAAATTATTTTACTGTGCAGCTTTTATTAATTGATAAATTGTTTTTGCTCTGTTATTAGCATGTTTAATACAATTTTGAATTTGGCTATCTTTTATGAATTCTCCTCCTAAAAATAAAAACAAATAATAATATTATATTTTGTACTTTTAATCAAAATGTTTTATATTATGTAAATGAGATTATTTATGAACTAGCAGTATGTGCCATCCATATTATACACATATCAATTTAAATTTAGTATTTTTCAATTAATATCAAGTCAAAAATCTTAAGTAAGTACGATATGATTCAATCAATATTTGGCAAAAAAAGAAGAATGACTGAACAGTAATCAAAATGCATGGTATTTTTGCAATATTTTTGTTTTATACATATTTTATTTAAAACTGTCTAATTAATAAAATGATAATCAAATAAAATTCAACAATTATTTATTCAATTTTTAAATATACTGATGCCAAAAATAAATAGTACAAATATTGATAAATTTAATGAACCATTAGTTCACTTTTGATTCATTGAATGTGTGCTTTAAAGTAATGCAACCCAACTAAAAATGTGCAATTGTACTGGACTCTAGCTACTGTGGATAGTAAGCACCATCATAAATTAAATAAATAATACTGTATATGTAATCTAAAGAACTAGTATTTCAGTCACCACGAGAGATTTAATCTTGAAATCATGTCATTCATAGATACACAATAGTTGCATAAGTATGCTGTGAAGAGTATATCCGCATATGTATATTAAAACAGAAAAATTATACTACCCATGAGCTCTGTATGCTCATTAGTATGTAGGTAAATTATGCACAAGATGTGATTTCAAATGATTTAATAATAATATTTGAAGACTCAAAGGTTTAAATGAATACATTTAATATTATTTAAAATTAACTATAAAATGTATGACTCACCAGGTTTGTGTAATGAAAATAATAAGGAACCATTGGTCACAACTGTTAGTTTACTAACACATAATTGCTCTTCTTCTTCAGTTGGATCAGCTAAAATATATTTTTCATTAAATACCCCAAAGGTTGACGATACTGGTAAACTGTTAACTTTTAACGGAATGTAATTTTCAATGACGGTTGTTTCTTCAGTTTCTTTGTCATATTTTACTTCTGGTATCTTAACTACAATACAATTATTCAATTAATTAAAAAATATTAACATTAAAATACCTTTAAATGTACCTGTTTGTAATGCTGATAACAATGCTACTAAACATGCATCTAAAACAGATCCGTCATAGTTCAAACAATATATATCACACGACAAGACCCACACTAATTTATCAACAGAAATACACAATTGTTGTAGATCTAGTATTTTGCAATTATTACACACTTCATTAAGGAAGCTGGTCATTTGCATTGCTTCATCACATGGAATTCCGGGTCGAATTTTCTTAGAGCATAGGCTAGGTAGTTCAATATTTACTAAAAGATATCCAATATCTGGAGTTTCAGCTTTAGGAACACCTAGTTCCTAAAAAATTAAAGATACCTTAATAAAATAAAAATATTTCATATTTTAAAATTTAATTAAAATCAAATAATCTGTCTTACTGCTTTAATGCCACAAACAACAGCTGTATTCCCAATTTTGACTGCTGCCGATCCATCTGCTGTGTGTATTGTGTTCAAATTTAGTGACGCATCTCGAAAGTTCATTAATTCTCTACCATCGTTCCTTTTATTAAGTGCCTAAAGTAATGTCGCAATTCTATTCAGTACATTATACATGTATAAAAACAATCGATTTTACAGAATGAAAATATACTTACAAGATATTCCTTGGTGTATGTGTCTTGTATATTTCTGAAAAATAAAATAAAAACATTTAAACTTGGGGGTACCTACATTCACATATATAGAATGAGACATTTAGACATGAGCACCTTTGTGACAAACCATTTTTTAGGCTTAACAAATACCAATGCAATATCTTACTCACTTCTTGATCGAGTTCATCTCTAAAAAGAGTCTTCGTCTTCGACTGATTGACGGAATTCGAATGCGGGACAATATAAATTTCAAATTTCGAAAGTACACGTCCCACGATCGACAACGGCATGTCCGTACTCCGATGATTGTCGCTTATCACAAGGTCCGAACGCCGAGCACGAGGTCGAGTACTGATAAAAATATATAAGGTGCTGCAATCTAGCAGCTGACATCCCCGTTTATGTAAGTTATTATTTGTAAATTATTTTGAAGTTAATTCATAAGACATAGGTATTAGGTACCTAAACATTTTTCTTTCTATACCTAAGATTTGAAAATGTAGTGCAAGATTCCTCGTGGGTTTTTTTTACTTTTTAAAAAAAAAAGTTAACCTGAAAGACAAATTAAATTTCTAGCAGTGAGTTCAAATTCGATATTCACCTGTAAATTAACGATTCCTCGTCGAACGATTTTCTTATTTTGTCGTTATAAAAAAACAAATAGGTACCTTACCGTAAATACCTACTAGACATTATCGCCAAATTTTTATTTTATTATTTTCCATACGCATACCTACTTTTACATGATAAAAATTTCAAAATATTTTGTCTCTCTTTGGGTTATTTATGCATTTGAGAAAAATTAGAGTGGATTTACGTTCAACTTTTTTTTGAATTTCCGCTGACAAAAACTTGTGAGGAACGTTGTTTTATATTTTAAAGTTTTTTGATCGAGCATAAAATAATTTATCGACAGTAATTTAGATAAAAAATTATAAAACTAGAAAATTTCTTACGCCTATAAATAATTCAAAAATAATCACGATATTAATATATTATATTTCGAAATATTTGACTTCTGAGTTCTGGTGCATAGAAATTGCTAATATAAACATTCAGTAAAAATGTCATGTTTCTAAGGTAATATTTTTAAGAGTTACACCGAAAACCAAATCCAAAAATGTTGAATTAAAATTTCCCGTTTTACTTTAATTTTTTTTTTTTTTTTGTTTTTTCTCTGTGCTTTTGAAAACTACCTACAACTGTAGGAAACGCACTGTTCAGAATCTAAAAACAAAAATAACACACATGATTATGATTGTAAAATCAATACATTCATCGGACCGCTAAAAATCGAAAATAAGTTAATGTCTTAATGAATGTTCGTTTGGCAGCACAGGCGTTTCATTTTGAGCAATTGATCGCGACGTTTTAAAAACGCAGACGCGACGGGCCCGTTCTAATTGCCTAGTGTGCGCGTGTAAATTCACTTTAGTGAGTGTTTCTAATGCATTTCTAAGTCATTTTGGGGGATGGAGTGACCGAACCGACTAAGGCGTCGTACGAGCTTGCGACGCGCACCGACGCCGGGTCAAAACCTCGGCTGCGGGCGGCATTTTTCTTCGGGCAAGTCACGGTCCACCACCCGGGCATGGCAGATACCTACGGGTGCCCACTAAAAAATCTGCCAAACTTACAAGCACACGTGTTTAAACCTATAATACCCTCCCCCACAGTTAAATACCACCCAATGGTCTAAGTTAATAATAATAAAAAAAAAATTAAGTTGTTTGGGATATAATATAATAACGTAGAATTCGACGATTCAGAAGCCATAATATCAGAGTTTATTAAATAATTAAATTTTTAATAGTCAATCGAAATTTTTAAATAAACCATTCATGATTCAACTGATCGCTATACCAAAATATGACACAATTATAGCCTAGAATATGAAACGTTTAATGAAAATTTTATTGAAATTAAATACTTAACAAATTATTATAGATGGGATAAAAGTAATTGATTGACGAAGGAAAACTGGCCTAATTGGTTTTATTTATTGTTTAAGTAATAGTATTAATTTATACAAAACAGTACCTATTGAATAAAGGATAAGGCGCGTAGTCAGGATTTATCAAAGGGGGATATTTTAATTTAATATTTAAATTTAACTTTGGGTCTAATATATTTTTAGATTATACGGCCGATTTTAACACCCAAAACACTACCCCCCGGGCCTGGGTATACGCCTGCAAAAGATATAGTAACCATACATGTCCTATATTTAGTAACTACTAACTTACAAACTCAGTCGAGACCACATTGAAACCACATTCAGTATTTCAGTGCATTAGTGCAATAAGAAGTCGGTTAAGATAATTCTACTTACAATTCCCCTTTTTCCCGATTATTAAGAAAAATACTGGGAATATTTTACTGCTAACCCCCCCTGAATACCTACTAGATCCAATTCCCTAACGTAGAAGTCCAAGTACCTACCAAAAAGGTTTAAGGTTAAAAATCGAAGGATTTTTACTGCTCAAAAAAATCGATAAGTACCTAAGAGATGAGACACAAAAAAAGTACAAATAACAATTTTGAGTTACTTTAATATACAAATGTTTGAAATAACTTTATAATTCAGTTTTAACTGTTGTAAGAGGCCGTCACAGTAGAAAAAAAACTACCGTAAAATATGCTTTTTTATTTCCAATAGTTTTTAGACCTCGTTGATCGTAGAGACATGGTTTTAGTATCGAAATAATCTCTAGAAGTTGTTTATTAATTAAGTGATTTATTTAATTATTTATTTATTAGCAATAACATAAAAAGTAAGTACGATAGGTAAATACTAAATTCTGATTTCCCTAAAATGTTAAGCATAGAAATACCAACATTTCTAACTTAAAAACCCCGTGATTTAAAATAATTGATCATTTTGAAGTATGTTAATCATAAGTTCCAAATTAAGTGGCTTTTAAGTGATTTTTATTAAATTAAGCAGGCATCTAAAATCGCACAGTTTGAAAAAAAAATTCTTAAAAATTGCTTGGGAGCTAAACTCTTAACCATTAATAATATTGTTTTATAATCAATGCTTAAGAGGAAGCTACACCCGCTTGTGTTGTCTCCGTCTTACAAATGTAAAACATCGTAAAAACTAATTTGCGTCGGTGAGAACCATTCGGTCTGTTGTCTGTAGTAGTGTAGACGTGTAGTCTAAGCTAAGCAGTAAGTAACCAAATTTTAGCACTATAAAGTATAAAGAGAAGAACATTTACAGTCAACGTCGTTTTATTTTTTCGAAATCAGAATTAAAAAGTCTGAAAATTTTGAAAATATCAATTTTTTCAAACTCGAATGACGTTTTTGCAGTAGGTATCTTAAATCGTGATTAGATCAATAATTACATAATACCATGGCCTTAGATCAAAGCTAGTTATTAAGACATTTTGAGGCCCAGGGGCTATTGTAAAAGAGGCCTCTGCACGAAAATAAAAATAAAATAACAATACTAATAATAGTTTGTTATATTATGTACATTATGTTTAGAATGTATATATTATTTAATATTAGGTACCTTTTACAGTAAATATGTGTAGATAATTAGGTACTTGGCAATAAATAATGAATAATGTATAATTTTATTTATAAATTCTAATTTATAAGTTTTTTTCTTCGTTAAATAATCATTGATTTGTATTAGGTGATTTATGCAGTGTTATAGCCTATAACCATCTATAACGAGAAAAGTAATGGACAAATCTGAGGCCCCTAAATACATTTTAACTATCGAGGCCTGGGGGACATGGCTCCCTCTGGACACCCCCCCCCCCCCCAATCCTTAATCCTGGCTTGAAGCTAGTCTGAAGCCATGCATAATACCCATAATATACCCATGACAAAATATACTTTGTCATGTCGATTTACATGTCGTTAATCATTATCGACGAAAAGGATGCCGACAGTGTAACCAACACGACGGTAACCGGTAGGTCGGTAGCACCGCACCGGTTACGCGTCGTCTGCGGCCGGCCGTCTCGGCCTAGCGGCGAGTCGAGCACTACAGCTGCACCTGTCGTTTGAAAAAAAAATAACGGTTACGATTTTCGAGCATTTCAGCATTTTGTTAATATTGTTTGTCGCGAGTCTTTTCCAATACTATTTACAGGCGGTCGGGTCGCGCAACGTTTAGTCCCGTCGTCCGTTCAAGCAACTCCGAACTTATCGATCTAATATCGATTATTAATTATTAATAATATCTACTTTTTACGTAATTATTAGTAGTACGTTTATCACCAATACACATCATTTTGTCACGTAAGTTTTTTTTCCTATTCACATTAATCTCGCTCGATTATTAGTGCGTTTCGTAATTTTACATTAATTACCTGTATAATTCGCGAATTTTTTATTTTCAATTTTTTTACGACCGAAAACACGATAGAGAATATTGTTACCCATAACATATTAATATATTATTATAATATCGAATATCGTTCGCCGAAGCCGAATGACGACTTTCGAAGCCTGACGACAACCGACCAGCGCCGTCGCCGTGAAAATCCGTGACCCCTATAATAATAATAATAATTATATCGAGTATCGTCATTATTCATTATTATTACACATCGCGGTGACCAAACGACGAAAGATGGAGTTTACGGTTTTTCGGGATCAAGAGAACGCCAACAACGTTTTGCGCAACAAGGAGAATAATGTGCCGCCGAGGGACCAGCAGCCCTCCAAACGACGATCGGTGCTCGGCGTGCTGAACGCCAAACAGCCCTTCACCAAAAAACCTCTGCCGAAATCCAAGGTGTGTATTAAGAGTATCTGAGTTAAGTAGTAGTCGGTCTGACAGAGTACGAATGGTATTTTCTATTTGACGATGATGATAAAATATTACGAGGGTTAGCGATCCAAGGGTAAGGTGCAGGTACCTATATGGATACAGTTTTTTAAAACCGTTGCCAACGATTATTGTCTTTTTAACATTGTGATAAATCAGAGCTAGGTATAGCATTGCTTTATAATAGGTTTGTTGAAAAATCCACTGTGGGATTTCCTCAGTAAATTTGTTTATTTTTAATAGGTGTATTATGATAATTGGTCGATGGCCATTGTTCGTATCTACCTGATACTGAAATCATTACCTACCTAGTCAGTAATCGAACGGCTTCATTAATTTTTCTCATCAATTTAATTGACCATTTTCACCGATTGCGCTATTTTTTTTCTTCAACAATTCAGCATAACTTCTGTCCTACCTACCTAAATTAAAATTGAATTCTATAATATTCTTAATTTATTAGGTAATTAGATAATTAGGAATTTTACTCTGTTCCAATTTTAACACATTTATGCCTAAACTAATCTAAATAAAATTACCTAGGTACCTATTTGGTGATAACTATAATTGTGTGTCGTTAGTAATTGATTTCATTAAATTTAAGAAATAATTAGTACCTAATGGTAGGTAGGCGCAATATAAAATATTTGAATTAAACTATCTAGGCACCTATCTATACAATTATAAGTTAATAGTTATTGATATTTTATGAATATAGGTACCTAATATAGTTGTTGATTTTAAAATTTCATAGTGTTTTTTGGATTTTATGAAAACTACCTAGGTATTGTTTAAAATATATAACCTAAATTATTTTTATAATTTACTTGCTTGCTGAATTAGATTTTCGTTCATTTTTACTCAGTTGTAAAGTATCAAATACAATTTTAAGTACAATTTATTCTTTTAAAAATTTATCTTGATTTATGTTCATGATTTTTTATTTTCACTGTATTATATGTTGGAATCAGTTTGGTAACTAATTGTATTGGATATACATAATAGTTATAGACATACCTACTACCACTGAACTCTATACATGTATACTACCATTGACCTTTTTATAATTATAAATAATTATAATCAGGATTATAATTTTATTTCAATAATCATTGTACCTATTGAATTTATTTAAGTGTATTGACTGGTGCATAGAAAAAATAAAGTGCAACATTTTTGATAAGATATGGGATATACCCGAGGATATACCTAATATTAATATACCTACCTATTTATTTTCTCTAGAATAACTAATAAGCAATGATATTCTATTATTTATGTACACTATACCAATTATAATACCTACCTGATGATTAATAGGTGTTTTTTTTATATACATACATTTAATATTTTACAATATTTTAGTAAATTAAAAGTGGTGATTAAAAAACAACAAAAATATTAATTATTAGGTACTTATATAGTGGTGACATATTTTCTTGTAGTTGAATTATATAAAACAATACATAGTACCTAGTATAGTAATTGTAATATTTTATTTTAGCCTCAAGGTACCAATAAATTTGGTTTTCCTAATAAATCATCAGTGCCATTTACAATTCATGAAGATCCACAAGTAAATAAAAAAGCTGCTGCTAGTGAAAACTTGTCAAGAAACAATGTGGAAAATCAGAAGCCTCTGCTACTCAAGAATGAAACTAATATCAGTGAAGCAAAAGTAATAACTAATAATATATTAAAATTACCTAGTATATGTATGTAAGATTATTTTTGTTATATTCTAATATATTTGTTTAACAGGCCACTCTACCCAAGATAGAATTATTAAAAGAGAGAAGAAAACCATTGTCTGATGTAAGCCAAATTGTTGCACCATCTGTAAAAACTGAAATAAAAACCGATGATAAAGACATTAAGGATATTGATGAATCGGGAGATTCTAGCAATGTATACTCACCCATGTCCATTGATAATGATAAGTCTATACAAAGTACTTGTCATTCTATGACTGCACACAGGTTAAGTTGCGATGTAGACACTTACACATGCGAGTTATACTCTTATCTCAGGGATGTCGAGGTAATGGAAGATGTGTTACTGAGTTTTTATTGATATTATTACTTATCAGAAATCTTTTTGATTTATAGAAATTACATCGTCCTAAACCTGGATACATGAGAAGGCAGCCAGACGTGACGTACAGTATGAGAGCAATATTAGTAGATTGGTTGGTTGAAGTAGCACAAGAATACAAGCTACAAAATGAAACTCTGTACTTGGCTGTGTCATTTATTGATCGTTTCCTTAGTTTAATGTCAGTGGTCCGTGCTAAACTCCAATTGTTGGGTACCGCTGCTATGTTTGTTGCATCGTAAGTTTTAATTGTTTCTTATATAATATGCAATGTCTGTAATATTTATTATTTATACTTTTTTTTTAATAGGAAATATGAAGAAATTTATCCTCCAGATGTTAGTGAATTTGTTTACATAACTGACGATACTTACACAAAGAAACAAGTACTTAAAATGGAACAGTTAATATTGAAGGTTTTAGGGTTTGATGTATCAAATCCCACTACTGTTATTTTCTTAACTCACGTTTGTGTTCATTGTAATGTTCCATTGAAAGTTATGTACTTAGCAATGGTAAGTTTTGATTTGTGTACAATCTATATTTCCCTATTTCTGAATAACTTATAATAATACTTAATAATAATAAAAACAACTTGTTTGTTTCTAGTATTTGGGTGAAATGAGTTTACTAGAAGCTGATCCCTACTTATCATACACACCTTCAATAATTGGCTGTGGAGCTGTTGCATTAGCTAGATTAATATTAGATTATGCAGTTATTTGGCCTGAAAATATGGCTGAATTAACTAACTACAGTTTAAATGATCTGATACCTGTTCTTAAACATTTAAACCACACTTATAAAACCGCTCCGCATTCCCAACAATCTGCCATTCGGTCAAAGTACAAGTCGGCCAGGTATGTTGATGTGTTATTTATTGTGTTTAATATTTAAAAAAATACTTAATTTATTGTATGTACAGTTATTATGTTTATAGTAAATTTATTTGAGTTATTTAGTTAATTAAATATATTCTGCATTAAACTCATTATTGGATACTCTACTCTAGTACCCAAACTATACTCCCAACCTGATAATCAACAAATATATATATAAAAAAATAACAGCAATTGAACATGTCCTGAATTATGACATTAATATCATTCAACCTTGTGTATGAATAGTCATTGGTGGTCTCCTATTTTGATTCTATATATTAGTCTCAATCAAAAGTCAAAACCAGCAACTTAGTTTTATATTTAGTTGCAAGAAATGTTTTTTACTAAGTACAAAATATAATTATGAGTATAAGTAAATAAATAAAACTAGGGTTTTTTCATATTTTAATTTATCTTATACATTTTTTTATGAATAATATTATTTAACTTAAAAATTTAAATACCAATTTTATATAGGATTCACTAATATTAACGCTAACTACATATAATGTATTTGCTATAGTACACGCTTATAAAACCATAACCAACATAATATTATGCATGTGTGTGTGTGGTGTCTTAACATTTTTACATAAAATAATTAGAATATTTTAATTAAAACTGTGTTTAATTTTCTCTTTTTATTTCAGGTATCATAGTGTCTCTGAAATTGAGTACACCGACTTGATTGTGCCAGAAGAAACTTCTCAAAAAGAAATGGCAGAGAGACTCAAGTTAGTTGATGTTCAAGACAAGTCATGATTCTATCGTTATTTATTTATGTTTTCGATTTTTTTTTTAATTATTATTATTTTTTTATTAATTTTTTGTAGTAAACAAAATTTTTTTTGACACTTTTTTAAACAATCTATTTTTAAGTAAAAAGAACAAAATAAAGTTGAAAACGAACCATACAACTGGAGATGTTTTTTATATTGCGCTTATAAGAATCACGCGTAAATAAAACATTTTTACATTAATAATTATTTATTTTTTTTCTACTAAATATATTTAAATTTTAAATTATTTTTTTACTCTAATTTAATTTTATAATTTTACAATATTTGTGTTTTTCATTTGTTGCCGTTTAGAAGAACAGGTATATATGCACTTGTTGAAATAAGAAAATGTTAATCTCATAAAATTATTATATTATCATGCATAACATTTATCATTATTTTTTTTATATAAAATTTATTAGATTGAAAGTTCGTATTTTTATTAACAAATTGCCATTGCAAAATTTTGTTATGTAAATTATTATTATGACTTATCTTCATCAAATAAAAATAATAACACAATATTATATGGGTTAATTCTGATTTATTAGTTGTTTAGTGGCTTTTCAATAGTTAAATAGAACCAATAATATTAATAATCTTAGAAAAACTAAACCCTAAGCACAGTTGTACATTTTTTAGTAATTTTTCACACCAAAAACAAATAGTCTGTCAATGCTTAATATTATTATAAATTAGGAAAATTTGTCAATTGAAATGACTTGTAATTATTACTATTTAATACTTCTTATTTGACTTTGGACTTTAGAGTGTAATATTTTAAAACTGCGACTAGAAGATTGTGTTTTCATTGATTCAAGAATACATCTGAAATATGTTGAGCCTCGGACGTCCTTGTGTTAGTATTGCAACTTGAGTGATGTTGTTTATCTAATTGCTGATTACTCTTGCATAGTATTGATATTTCTATATAGATGGCAGATTTCAATAATTCTTACAATCCTTTAAGTCTACGGTTGACTTTACCTTAGCTTTGACTAATTCTGTCAGGAATTGAGGATCTTTTTTCTGTATGAGTATCGCATAAGTTTCTGATATTTTTTTCTAATTGTTATTAATTCATATAATTATATGCTAAATTCCATAACAGTAGTTAAACTGATTTGAGTATAAGGTTTTTTTTTAAATGAGTACTGAGTAGAAAAGCCTATTGATGAAAAGTTTAAAATGTTTAATGTTATTTTGGCATTATTGCTCCGGTCAGAATCTATTACATTTATTTTGGTGTTTATCATCATTCATCACATTATGGAGCGAAAACTGCTTCAATTTTTAATTTGAAATAATTGTTATTTTTTGGAGGTGGGGGAGTTAATCAATTTTTATAAACAATGAAAATTTCAAAATATTTGTAATAATGTATTTTAATTTTTTGATATCCATCTATTCTACCTAAATGTTACTAACAGTGTCTATGCTTAAACAAAACGCTTGAAAATTCGTACTGGGTACCTCATAATGAGTCATAACTTATAAGTTATTCTTTTAGAATTTAAGAACAATAAAAATGTATTTGAAGGTAAATTTTGACAAAATTAGATATTTAAACCATATATCAATATTTTTCTTTTAACAATTTTAGTTATTTTGTAGTAATTTATTCAAACAGTATTTATTTTTGGGACATGAATATTTTTGTAATTATTTTTAACAATACGCTTTTGTTCAAATATTTAGACTCATTTTAGTGTATTTATACAGATCCTGTTGGCTATTCACACAATCACACTATTCTAAGGTGAGTTTTTAACAATAATAACAATATGTGTGAAATAATACATATAATATAATATTTAAAAAATCTTCAACATCGTTTATAAGAGCTCCAAAATATTAAAAGCAATTAATTTTTCCAAATCTAAAAGAATATATTATTTTAAACCAAATAAGTGGGTGTAGGGCATAGGGAATGGAGATTTTCTTCTTAAGTTAGTAGTGAAGGGATGGCATTCCCTCGTAACTACTCCTCATTCGACCACTGTGGTACTGTTACAGTAGTGGGTTGTCATGAGAGACAGTAGAATAAAGCGTTGATTTTTTCACCAGCGGATTTTGTAAAAACCAGAGAGCCACTAGTTTCGGACGACATTTCGTATTTTATTTAAATTACATTTTTTTAACTTTCCTGCCGCTGATGTAGCTTGTTATAAGAGTGTTAGTTTTTCTAATAATTTTCTTGGTAAAAATACATTATTTTATAGATTTTATTCGTAATACTTAACTAACCACACGATTAAAACTTTATAGTAAAATAATTAATGCAGGTCTTAATTAAATTTCTTTACTAGAAAATACAATGAAATCAGAAATACAACTAGACTCAAACAAACATTTTTTTGGTTTTACATTTATAAGAATCATTTTAAAATACATGGAAAGTATTCAAAATTCAAATGTCTGCATACTCATTAGTCATGACAGCAGGTTTTTAAAGGACGATAAATAAAATGGTAAAATGTTTTATTTGAAATAATTTCTACTTCTATTGTTATATCTTTTTTTAGGCACACAGTTTGACAGTTTCCGGTACAAAGTACCAACAATTTTTTTTATATTTTATTGCTTGGAGTTTAGACTATGTCTTTCTGATTCCTCTCGGCTTTAATAATTTATTAATATTTGAATAATTATTAATTATAATGACATATTAATGACATTTTAACATACGATGTTACACGGCGGAGTGTGTAGGCAATAGTGTTTCACATTTTATACAATATTATATCGTTAAATTGTGTTAATTTAAATTAATTATAATATTTATTATTGATATAATAATATATACCTACTATAGGTATTAGAGTATTACGAATATTTCAGTTGTAATAGCAGTATAGCACTTTACTGCTCAACGCCTGTCGACAATTACAGTTGTAATAATTATTTCATAAAAACCAATATCTTTACGTATTAGTTTTTTTTCTTTAAATGTCAATACAATTATAATTTTTTCTGTCAAAAAAAATGAAAATATATCAGTTGAAAAATATTAAAAACACATAGGCAAGATTTTTTATCAGGATTTAAAGTTCAAATGTTGACGAAATTTATCGAATTGAAAATGTACAAATTATTTAGTACCTATAGTAAGTTATACATTTATACGATATTCAACTTTTATAGCTAAGGATTACAAATTTAAAATAAGGTTCCACGTAAGTAGTTAGTTCTGTGACCAAAAAATCTAAAAAATATATAAATACAGTTTTTTTTATAGGTATTTTAAGTTCAAGTTTGAACGAACTTACATAATAATTTTTTTTTTTAAATTTTTTTAATTTTTACAAGAATTACACAATCTATACTAATAAGAGCACAATAAGCGTGTTTGAAGAGGGTAAACAGGCATGAAGAACGGGGTTAAGAAGTCACCCATTAGCAACACTTAGCATGAGCAACATAATAAATAACCAAGGATAATAATTTTAGTTATTTTGTTGTAATTTAAAAATATTATTCGTGGGTACATGATACTTCTCAAGTTGTTATATTATTATATACAAATATTTAAGTATGATAATATGCAAATAATATTAATATAACTTGCCCGGCTACCATATCTTAACAAAGTCCCCTTTTCTGTCTGTATGCTTAGATCTTTAAAACTACGCAACTGATATGTCATATGTGTTTTTTTTAGAGTGATTCAAGAGGAAGGTTTATATGTATATAACATGCATAATATAGAAGAGAAACACCCCCGGGAGGTGCTCAAACAGGAATTTTGAGATTTACGATGGACATTTTTGTTTATTAATGGTTGCTATGGACACAAACAAAATATAGAAAAAATTCTGTACAATTGTGTAGAATAATAAAAGATACATTAAGTAGGTAATATAATAATTCATATATTATTAACTATGATATACTTATGGGATTTACCTATACGGGCATAGGCCCTATAGGGCTATACATACACCTGTATGGCTATAAATGCCTATAATGTATACACTCATACACTAATAATGACATTTATTTAAAGAAAATGAATTCAGGATAAGTGTTTTCGTGAAATGGTTTTTCGAGATAATGGATCCGGTATTTTGGTTTTCGTGAAATTATCTTTTGGGAAAATATCAGAGTACCCACTACCCGTGTCAACACGTCCGAGTCACAATCGAATTGTCGTACAGAATGCTACTGGAAAACGCATAATAATTTCACATTGAGAGGCACGGGACCATTATTGGGTATGACCGTCGCGTAAACAAATTGTACGGTGGTAAAGCAGCTGGGGTTCTATCCTTCGGTTATTTTAATTAAATCCATTAATTAATTTACTAACTTTGGACTGTCGTTTCCGGATGGTAGCAATGGAATCCTCGATTCGACCACCAATAGTTTTAGAGGAAAAAACTGTCAATCATCAAACTGTGGGGTTTATTCTTAATATAATTACTACAGTGGTTTAAACTTGAGAAATAAGTTATGTGCACGGGCAAGAGTGAAGTCGATGTTTTAGATGATACTATGATAGAAAACAAATAAATGCTTAAAATAGATGGTTGGAAATACGTTAAAATTCTATTGTTCTTTAACAATATTATTATTATTATTATTCGTTCTAAAGCACCGGTTAGGCTAACCGGTTGAAGATAGGTACACTAAATGAACGATGATATTATACACCTACACATTTATGTTGCATAATATTACACAATATGTCACTATATTATACCATTAGGGGGACGGAGTGGCCGAGCGGACTAAGGCGTCGGTTGCGACACTCACCTGCGCTGGTTCGATACCTCGGCCGCGGGCGGCATTTTTCTTCGGGCAAGTCACGGTGTCCGAAAAACAAGTGCCGCCATCCCCCACCCCGGAATTGTAGGTACCTACGGGTGCCCACTTGAAAATCTGCCAAAAACAACACACCCGTGTTTCATCTTCCAGTTCCCTCCCCCACAGTTTAAAAACCACCCAATGGCTTAAGTTGCCGCGGGTTAACTAATAAAAAAA